GGGGGGGGGGGGGGGGCAGACCTCATGATCCGAGGCCCGCTAGCATTGAAGACCGCAGTCGGCAACCGTTTGGATCTGGAAATGCTCCGAATAAGATTCCAATTTCGGCAAGACCGAAGTTAGCTTCTGCCAATTTGGGATACTTTTAAGTGCACTGCTTTTATCGCAAAAAGTCAAAGCCAGCTCTTTCTGTTTCTGTGAATATCCCGCGTGCTTTGTCTTTATTTGGTGTACCTTGTGTTTGTATATATATGTTGGCCTGTCTACCTGGCTCTTGCTGCGCTGTCGCCGGAAGCAAAGCAGCAACCACGAACATGTCAATCTGAAAACATAGGGGCCTCAAAACACACGAACAGGGTTTTGGGGCAGTTTCTAGTCTAGTTGTATCTACGGCCTACTAGGGAAGATTATGAGTTGCGTAGGTTCCTAATTCACTAACTACTCCCCACACAAACGAAAACTGAATACTGCTGTGATCTGATGAATTAAAAATCCAAGTAACTAACTGTTCATGAGGCTACAAGCCCGCGAATCATAAGGATTACGAATCTTCAGGGTGTACAAGCAAGCACTGCGTAATACAAGAACTACGGTTTAAGGTTTTGGGCTCTTCTCCAGCATGAAGCCCATTGGCCCAGACACTTTTTATGGTTTTCATGTTTTTTGGCCACCCACCCCTTTGACAGCTACCCCAACCGCAACCTTCACCTAATGCAAAGGTTTGCCTTGGTCGCAAACCACGCGAGACAACGACAAACCCGAAAACCCAGAAAGCCCTGGTTTAGGGTTTAGGGAGAAATGCCCTCCACCACAGCCCTCCCTCCAACTGTCCGTCGCAGTGTCCAGGAAGGGTTGCCGCCGCTGGAAGAACAAACCTGCTAGCGTTTGTTTTTTTAATGCACTAGTCCCTTTCTCCGCGAGACTCGCTCGCAGGTTTAGGGCCTGGGGGTCGGGTGGAGTCTATTATTTATTGTTGAAGTCAAGTCATTGGGAATTAAGGTACTGCAAGGGGCCTTGATAACTAGAATATGGTTCTGGGGTGCGTACATTATACCATAACTACAAGAAGGAATCACCAAACATAGTATTGGGAATTATTTCGACCCCTATATTATTTTATTTATGGTTGAAAGGATTGGGTATTAGGGTATGGGGTCTACTACCCTAAACCCTAAACCCTAAACCCTAAACCGTTACTATAGGCTCTTTGACTGGGGATTGAAGGTGAGTGGCTAAGCTCGGGTGTGACTTCGGTTCTGGCGAGCTGAGCGCTGACGATCCCCCGTTCTCTTCACCCAGCCAGGATCTGAGTAGCATAGGACTAAAGCTTTCATCAGAAGTACTTCTGCAGCATTGAAGAAATCCTAAACCCTAAACCCTAAACCTTAAACCCTAAACCCTAAACCTTAAACCCTAAACCCTCACAAAACCGTTTGACATGTGAACACTCAAGCTGAGGCCCAAAACTGCAAATTCGACCGAATAGACCCTCAGCTACCCAGACAATTTGTTATTCTACCGTCTCTGTAACCCAGAGACAGTAACCTGTTATCTTAGACCCTCTTAGACCCAAGTCCCTAATTTTGATGTACCTTGCCAGGAAGTTTAGGGTTTAGGGTTTAGGGTTTAGGGGTATAGGGTTTAGGGTTTAGGGTTTAGGGGTACCTTGCCAGGTACAAGCCTTTTTTTGGGGGGGGGGCGAACTGGGGGGGGCTCTTGCTCCCAGGACGCACTCTGGGATCCAGTAACCTGTTGTCAAGAAGGTTGAACCTTGTAGTTGCCGCGTCATCTAAACCCTAAACCTTAAACCCTAAACCCCTAAACCCTAAACCCAAACCCCCAAGGCCCTAAACCCTAAACCCTAAACCCCTAAACCCTAAACCCTAAACCCTAAACCCTAAACCCTAAACCCCTAAACCCTAAACCCTAAATCGGATCACCAATCAACCTGTGGTTCTGTTGATGTGGTTGCCGTTCCTTTAAGTTGCTTTTCTGCTGTGTTTAGGGTTTAGGGTTTAGGGTTTAGGGTTTATAGGGTTTAGGGTTTAGGTGAGGCTGGCTACTGTTCATCGTCGAGGGTCTCGAAAACTCAGTGTTGTGCACATCGTGAAGGGTTCCCCAAAAGTCTCCCTAAACCCTAAACCCCTTCTTGGAGGCTCAGGGACTTTGTCTGAGTACGTTATAGCCATGCTCTGGGGATCCAAGTAGCGCAATGTAGGTACTATGTAAGACTTTAAACCCCAAAGTAGGTACTGTTTGATCACTTGGAGCCCTATCATGCTCTGTTTCACACAACCCATTGCCGTCGCAAAAGGAAAGCAATTATTACAGCCACTAGAGCCCCCCTGATGCCAGAAACAGCCCCAACGCAAAAACCCACAAAACTCGGTTTAGGGTTTAAGGGTTTAAGGCATAGGGTTTATGGTTTAGGACCCGTATGAAGGAATCTGTAAGCCCATTACTGACCTTGCGTGCCAGGGCACCTCTGGTAAATACCAGCATAAACACGGCGATGAATGCCCAATTCGCAAGGAAGTAGGCGATGGAAAAGATCTCAGGCTGTTCAGAAAACGAAACCTAGATGCCTCAATTACGTCATGGACCTGAAATCGAAGAGCTGGATTTGGGGTGAATTCCTAAACCCTAAACCCTAAATCCTAAACCCTGAACCCTACACCCTTAGTTACAGGGTTTTGAAGATCAGGGTTCGGGAACCTTTGGATTACAACTCCTGATACATACCATGTCCTATGCGCAGAACATCCACCAGGGCGCCGGCCTAGAGTCGCTTTAGGTCTTCTAGGTTCTGGGTTTAAGGTTTAGGGTTTAGGGTTCAGGGGATAATTCAAGCTTTAGGGGATTTAAGGCTTTTAGGCTTAGGGCTCGAAAGATCGTAGGACCCTTATCACCCTAACATCGAACCACTCTACCCATGGGCCCCAGAACCCCAAAAAGGAACTACTTTAGGGCCTATGGGTAGCTTCTATAGGTTTAGGATACTTCAGGCTTTAGGGATTTAAGGCTTCTAGGCCTAGGGCTTAAAAAGATTCGGGGTTTAGGGTCGAACCTCAGCCGACCCTACGCGCATGCCATGCTCACACACACACATAACTACCAAACCTCGGGTCATAAACCGTAAAAAGACACTCACCAGCCCGAAGCACTGATAAGGTAGATTTCCCTGGCCTTGTGTATACCAACATGCTGAATATCTCGCATCTGTTACAAGCAAGCATGCGTGAGGGAAAGAGTGAGTGGGAGAGGGAGAACCCTAAACCCTAAACACCCTATAAATCCTAGACCCTATAAACCCTAAAATCCCAATAAATCCTAAACCCTACAAACCCTATACGCCCTATAAACCTATAAATCCTGAACCCTATAAACCTTATAAACCCTAAAGAGGGAGCGAGAGAGAGACTGGAATTCGAAGCGAAAGGAATCAATTAGCGCTGCTGAGCTCCGGGCGGGCATGGCCAAAGCCTGCCGGCAGTGGAAGGGGCTCCACTAAACCCTCTAAGGTTTAGGGTTTAGGATTTGTGGGTTTGAAGTTTAATATTTAGGGTTTAGGGTTTAGGATTTATAGGGTTTAGGGTTTAAGGGTTTAGGGTTTACGGAGTTTAAGCTTCTTTCAGGGGCTCTGAAAAAAAACGGGTCGATAACGGTTCCAAGTTTATGCGGGGTTCTGTGAGGGTTCTATGAGTTCTGCAAGGGTTCTTTTACCCTAAACCCTAAACTCTAAACCCTATGAGGGTTCTTTTTTTTAAAGTGCAAGCAGAGGTCAGAAGCCAACAGGGTTCGGGTTTAGGGTTTAGGGTTTAGGGTTTATAGGGTTTAGGATTTAAAGGGTTCAGGATTTATAGGGTTTAGGATTTAGGGCTTAGGATTTAAATGGTTTAGAGTTCAGGGTTTCAGGCTGTCCCTTTTAAAAGGCTCCCTCCTCAGCTTCGTCCACAAGTTTAGGGTTTAGGGTTTAGGGTTCAGGGCATCCCTAAACCCTAAACCCTAAACCCTGAAAACCAGTCTCGGGCTGCTGCGATGCGCGTGAAGAACTTCGCAATCACGGACACCTGCGCAGCACGCTCGTGGGTCGCTCTACCATGGAGCTTGGTAGCTTAGTTGTAGGGTTTTGGGTATGGGTTTAGGGTTTAGGGTTTAGGGTTTAGGGTTTAGGGTTTAGGGTAGTTGTAGGGTTTTGGGTATGGGGGTTTCAGGGTCTCGTTGGGGGTCGCTGGGGTATCTAGGATGTGGGAATCTCTGCATACGGAATCAAACTCTAGGGGCCGGGGTTTAGCATAAACTACCCTGAACTCGTCGCAGTCTCGCACCCCGAAGTCATGGCAACGCACACGAACAGTCGGATACCCGGCCAGAGGTGAAACAAGCACTGTTCTGTATGATAAGAGTTGCGGGCCAAAGTATAGATTATCGATGTGCTCAGACTTGCTTTAAGCCTAAGCTCATCAATATTCATTCTGGGATTCAGGATTTGGGTAGTTCTCTAAATTAGGGTCCCGTTTTAGGTCCCCAATATAATACGGCACCCTTACAAAAAGGAGCCTAAGAGGGACCCTGATTTAGAGAACTGCCCATGTACAAACGACTGACTACAGCGGTGGTGTTAGTGATGCTGATGGCAGATACAAGCCACCGACACCAGTTCGACTCAACCTCAAACCCTGGACCACCAAATGCTAAGGATAAAACCCCAAGCCCCAACTACCTAAACCCAAAGAAACCCTAAACCCTATAAACCCTACACCCTATAAACCCTAAACCCTCTAAACCCTGAACCCTATAAGCCCTAAAGCTTGTACTGCACTTGCAGTCCCCGACTCCCTAAAAAGAGGCACTCGGAGAGGTGCCTGGCACTTCTGCTCGCTCTGAGCCAGAGAACACCTCTCCTGGGCTTTGTGCTTTACCAGGGAGAAAAAAGTGCAGACTTTTATTTCATAATGGCTCCTTTAAGGAACAGGTCCCAAAAAAAAAGAGTAGTACCCTAAACCCTTAACCCTTAACCCTAAAAACCCTAAACCCTAAACCCTAAACCCTAAACCCTAAAACCCTAAAACCCAAAGCCCCTGAACTCTAAAACCCTAAAGCCCTAAAAACCCTAAACCCTAAACCCTAAACCCTAAAAACCCTAAACCCTAAAAATCCTCAACCCTAAACCCTAAAAAACCTAACCCGTGATTACAGTAGGGTACTCCAAAGCCCAGTCTCTGAGCCACTGGCGCCACCTCCGGGGATCGGATCTTTGGGGTTGAAGAGGTCTCTTGAGGATCCTTCTGAGGTTCCTTTAAGGGAGGTTTAGGGCTTTAGGGTTTTTGGCTTTTACAGTTTTAGGGTTTTCGGGTTTTAGGGTTTTCGGGTTTTTGGCTTTTAGAGTTTTAGGGGTTTAGGGTTTAGGGTTTAGGGCTTTAGGGCTTTAGGGTTTTAGGGTTTCAGGGGTTTGGGGTTTAGGGTTTAGGGCTTTAGGGGTTTAGGGTTTAGAGTTTAGGGTTTTAGGGCTTTAGGGCTTTAGGATTTTGGGTTTTTAGGGTTTAAGGGTTAAGGCTTTAGGGTTCAAGGTTTTAGGATTCTTGCTAGGATCTCCCGAAGGTTCCCACATGGCTTGGTCTATGCAGGGCGGACGGTCCTAGGGTTTATGGTCTTGGGGCTTCAACCCTAAACCCTAAACCCAGGGTTCAGGATTTGGGCTTTAGTTTTGAGTTTTCTTCAGGATCCTAGAAAGGTTCTGCAACAGACACGTAGGGCTCAGGGTCGCTAATAAAGTTTCAAGCTGTGGCGTCAGGATTGACACTTCTCCCTGAAATTCTAGACAGCCTTACAAGTTGGATGCTTTACACTTCGTCACCCTTCAGCGGGCAGGGAAACATCATGCTACGATCCATACTTATATGCACATCTGGGACTTGATAACCAGGTTTATAAATAATTCAACTCCATGCTTCTAGTCACTTAAACACCCCAATTAAGGCAATTACATATAACATATATGGGAGTTTCCGGAAATAGGGGACCCTAATATAGTACCCTAAATATTAGGATCCTTAATATAAGGACCCCCAAATAAGGTACCCCAATTTTCGGAAACCCCCATATCCTTACTGACTGACCACCATGATCTTCCGAGTAAGCTTGGCGGCTGGCAAACACTTCCGGGGCTTCGGGAAAGCCTAAAACTTCAGTTCAAAGGGCGCATGAGCGCCTCTTCCGGCAGGCTGATATCCTTAACCAGAGGCTATGTGACGGGTGCCACGTGATCTGGAGGCGATGCCGGTCCTCCCAGACTTCCTCCCAGATATTGGCATGGCTGGGCCTGAAGGCGTAGCATTCGGCCTGTGTGATGGCCGGTTTGCAGTCCACAGTGACTGCTGCCTCACCCTTGGTATGACGCAAAAGGAGGGCCAAGGCCCACGCTTCGCCCTGCACCACGTTGCAACCTGCAGGGAGAATTTGCGTGATCCGACCCCGCTCGGTCAAAACTCCCCCTTCAAGAGTGCAGGCAACGACCGCCGCAGCCACCACACGTGTGCGGGGGTCCTTGGAAGTACCTGTGGCATCGGTGCCAAAGACAAGGCCGGTGGCATCCACGCAGCGGTTGCTGTGCCACACCCCGGTGAAGACAGGCTGGAGAGAATCCGCAGGCCACTCCGGGCAAGCCGTGTAGGAGAGTGGTATTATCTTAGGGGCTGAGTACCCTAGCCCCAAAAAGGTTAACCTTTTTAATTATAGCAGGATTATATAAGCGCCAAATGTTAAAGGTTACCTACTCAGCCCCTTAGTTATGGAATTAGGTCCCAAAAGACCATCCTTATTAAGGTTTTAGGGACCCAGCTCCATAATGGTACTATATATGGAGCCTCTGGGTGAACCAGAAATTCACCCTCCGTACTAGAATCCTGAGCCCTAAACCCTGCATGTAAACAGCTCTCAAGGTGTGGCATGGCCAGAGAGCACAATTATTACACACCAGTGATAGGAGAATCCCTTCAAATTTCGGGAGCTTATGCAATGATTCAGGAGATATTCCTTAATCCTAAACCCTAAACCCTAAAAATTGAGGGGTTGGGCTTGCTGGGTGAGGACCCGAACACCAGACAAGCTCCACCTGATGGCCGCGTCTGGGAGCCGAAAGCTGTGTAGTCGGGCGCGATCGTCAGGAGCGCGACACCTTTAGGGTTTAGGGTTTAGG